ACCTGCACCAGGCCCTCCGCCGCTCTCTTATGATACACGGTCTTCCCTTGTGCCGGCTCGATAATATGCATGCTCTAGCGTCGGGGAGCATGGGTCACCTCACTGAACGGAATCTTCTTGCGGGCAATGTGATGCGGTAATAAAGTGACCCATTCAGGAATGATCTCCAAGAAGCGGGCGGAGTAGTAACGGCCGACAACGCCCGCAGCACGGAATTTGAGAATGTCCTTATTCTTCTCATCCTTTGCTTCAGGGCGGGACAGGGACAAGTGATATACTGTCTTTTTGATTTCTGTAGATGTGTGGCTCCGTAGATGTTTACTTTTCCTTGCTCCTGTAGACCGCGCTCTGTTCTTCACAGAATATGATTCGTTCGCCTCTTGTGAAACAAACCCTTATTACCCTACAACTAAACACGCACACTCAGGTCTTTCAGTTAGAGAATGGGGGAACACCGTAAGCTGTGACGGTAATAAAAGTCAAATAAACGTTCCGATTTGCTCTTGTATCTGTGTCCTTCGTTCCAGGAAACCTCCGTTAACCATTCTCTTCTCCGTTTCCACTCACCTCTTAAAACTTTGAGTCCTTGAAAAAAGGAATTGCTTTCTACGGCTCCTTTTTACCCAATCTGTAATAACTTAATTTACCCCCTCACAATTCCTCCCCAGCTCGTCCCTAAAAAATGGCCGCTGCTTACAGACCTTTCGACCGGGTTCACGCTCCACTGGTGTCCCCGTTGGAAGATCTTAACCCTGCGACTGCTCATCTAAAGCCGGAATGGGCCACTTCTTTTCAGCGGTTACAAGAGTGTTTCCTCACTTCGCTCTTTGAACAGGGAAGGGACTACTCTGCTAATATGCCCACCCTCAACAATGAAAACCGTTATCATCGAGATGATCTGTTGGTTTTCAATGTGTACAAGTATGTTCTTCCTTCCTTTCTTCCTACCATCCATTGCTATCACAGTCACTATAAATCTTGTGGCTGCTCTTGCACTTCAAGGTCTTCCAGTGAGGAGAGAAGTAAAGTCCGTGGTATACCATCTATTTATACATTTCTGACATTATTTTCTATGTACTTTGTCCCAACATAGAACGTTACAGCTCTCGACGGCATACGGTTTGGGCCCCAACCCATGTGCCCCATTTTACATCTTCTATTCCGGCAGACATCCCGCCGACGATGCGATTCAACGCGAAGTTGTAGAGGCGCCCGCCGTCGGTACTCGTAAAATCGGTAGCTTTAGCAAGAAGATGTGGAAGAACATCAAGGGGTTGGGAGGATCGTCCAGCAGCTCCAAATCCACAGCGTGGACCAGCGACGGTATGAGCTACGAAAACAAGAATGCCACCGTTCGCCCAAACATGGCCCAGTTCTTCCTTGACCGCAAGGATTTCTCCACTGGGCAATCTTCAACCGTCGTATGCGTCCGAGTCTACACGGACTACATCGATTGGCGCTTGGTCCCACCTGATCCAGGGAGATCTGCAATTGCCACTATCTTTACGAACGCGGCCGGCAGCAGCAGCAAAGCCAAAGGAGCCGAGAAGCCGAAGTCGGTCCACCTCTCCCCAAACGCCTTCCCTGCCCTCCTTCGCTCAGTCACTCGGGGAGAGAGAGAACCCCCCAAAGAGCACCCGGTCAAAAACAGCTTTAAGAAGACAGTTTCCATGGGCAACCTGAAGCACAAGGCCCGTCTCGGTGCGAATTCTGCGCCAGCAGTACCCGACATTCCCCTCACCATAGAACCAGTCACCCCAACGAAGAATGATCCATTGAAGGAGTTGGCACCCACCAACGCTATGTACGATATCCCCGCCGCAAGGATTTACTTGAATCCCTCGCCTTTCCTCGTAACACCAGAATCCGACCCAACCGCTTTCGTCAACGAATATACGAGCGGAGAGATGAATGATAGTAATAAGGAACCCATTTACAACACTTTTGAGGATCTGGGAACAGCGGAATCGCAGACTATAACCGTCTGCTTCTCTAACGACGGTTTGGACACCAGCACTTACTGGTGGGTGTCTGACGATTCGAGTTGGAGAATCGTGTACGACAAGACGCAGGATGTGAATGTTAGCTCCAAAAGAAGGGTGGTGCCAATGCCTCCTAGCGCTAGTTCTGCTCAGGAGGGTGAGGAGGGAGAGTCTTCGACAAAGTATATTTCTCATGGCTTCCTGTTTGGTAGGCCAAAGATTGAGGAGAAGGTAACCAAGATGTTTCCGGATATTAAGGGTGGTTCTGTTAAGGTATGTGCTATCTACCCTACCCTACCCTACCCTACCCTACCCTACCCTACCCTATCCTATCCTATCCTATCCTATCCCACCTGGAAGAAAACAATAACGAAAAAATGATCCATCTAATCGTCTATTGATACAGTTGTACGGTGCCAACTCTAACGATCCGATCGCCCAGGTCCACCTTCTCACTGGACAAATGTGGATCTTGAAGCACCTCATGCTACGAACCATCGACATCGCCGTAGCTGTGATCTTTTCCGTGGTCAATCTGGAGCGCCAGATCGAGGAAGAGCGCAAAAAGCCGGGGGGCCGCTTTCCTGGAGCTGCTTCACCTGTACATAGGAATGTGACTAGTTAAACATGATAAAGTACACCGGCGGGGGTGAGTGCGCCGTTATGGTTGTTGACTGTTTGTTATCTTTGGGTTGATCTAGCTTCATGAACTATCTTTTTTTCTTTCTTTGTCGAAGGTCTTGCTTACCGTAAAAACTGTAATAAACGATTAATGTGCTATGTCGTTGGAGTTGCCCCCCTCCGGTAAGGCCTAGTACTTTTTTTGTTTTTTTCATGTCTCTCAGAGGGGCTGAGCAGCTCTTTTTTTTTTTGCAGTGTTTTTCGCTCCTTTTCCAAAGTAGGGAATTCTCGACTACATAGCACAGTGATAAAAGGACACCCTCCTGCCCAAGGACAGAGAAACACCTTGAGCATCATTTCACCTCCTTTCCTCCCCTTTAGAGAGAGAGAGAACACACACACTCCCACCACAAAGCCCTGGGCTCAGGCCCAGGCAAAAACTATGATACCTTTTCTCCCCCAGGAGAACCCCAAGACACCAAAAGCCCCAGCTCACCCAGGCAACCACGCCAAAGTCCCGCTCCACCCAGGCACCCACACTAAAAGTCCCCATTTTACCCAGACACCCATGCACAATGGGGCACACTCTACGAAACACCCCATCAACCATACCAAAGCCCCAGCTTGCCCAGGCAACCATACCAAAAGCTCCATTTTACCTGGGCACCCACACACATTGGGGCGCACCCTACGAAACGCCCCACCAACCACACCAAAGCCCTGGCTTGCCTGGGCAACCATACCAAAAGCCCCGTTTTAACCAGGCACCCACACATATTGGGGCGCACCCTACGAAACGCCCCACCAACCACACCAAAGCCCCAGCTCGCCTGGGTACCTGCACCAAAGTCCCGTTTTACCTGGACACCCACACCAAAAAGTCCCAGCTTATCCGGGCACCCACACCAAAGTCCTAGTTTACCTGGGCCCCCATACCAAAGTCCTGGCCCCGGGCCAGGCACCTGCTAGAATGGAGGGGCGGTCTGATTGCCTCAGAAAGTTCGGTGGGACTGGGGGGGGTGTGGGGGTAGCATCTTGGTGATCATCATGGACCGGGCTTTGAATGGCCTGGGTCACAGGGGTATCGAGCCCCCACGATTTTGAAGGCTATATGACTCGTGGTTTACGCCAAGCATGACATCGACATCCGAGGAGGACACAACCCACTGTGCTTTCCCCAAACCTTTAACATTTTTACCAGGCTGAGGCAGCTGACTTGCAGGGAGGGTTTTTCTTGTGAAGGAGGGCTGTGGGGGCTTAGGCCTGAGTAGTGGAATTTTGGGCAGGTGGTGGACTAGGAGGATTTTCTTTTAAAAAGAGGGGGCCTTGGCTGGGGGGGGTTTCTCATGCCATACAACGATGCAATTTAGTTTGTGGTTTGTGTATTTAGACATGTTGGTATGAATACAAATCAGGTTACACATAGCACATTAATCATTTATTACAGTTTTTACGGTATTTGCCGATTGATGATGTTTTCCCTTTCCCCCCCCCCCGTTGACGGCCTTGCTTATCCACAGACGGTTTTTTTTTTTTTGCTTCTATGTTTTGGCTTCTTGGGCTCATACATAGTGCTTAGACTAGAAACGAAAATCGTCTGTTCTAATGTCTGTTTTGTTACGAGTGTAGCGTGATTCGGGCCCGTATTTAGACAGTCTTCCTTGGTAACGGATTGATATATATATATATATATATATTATATCGGTACCACCCACCCACCAATATTCACCAGAAACCTTTACAACAGAAAATCTAGAATACTTGAACCTCTTTAAACCCCTGGACTCCCACTATGTAAACCGATTTACACTATCTCTCAATCCTAGAAGAAAAAATACATAGAAACAGATACCTTGCTGCGCTCGGCCTTGGAAGAGAAAAAGTATTACAGCGTTTCTACGATATTTCCCTTTCAAACAACCCATCTTCAGCTAATCATCAAGAAGCATTGAGATCAGTTTCGCTTCGTACCCGCTAAAAATGTCTAGCAGATTCCGACTCAGTAATAAACCATGCTCGAGTCTCCGCGTGCACTGACAGGCGACACACAAAATATCACTCGCTCCTCACTCCCCTCCATGCCTCCCCCACCTCTCCAGCACCCAAGCCTAAGACCAAACTCCTCCAAACCCCTCCAACTCTACACCTAAAAATAAAAAAAACCTGTAACCACCACCCACCCCGCCAAGTCCCCAAACCCCACCAACCATCCATCCCACAACCGGCAACTCCCGTCCGCCCGTACCCAAGCCTCCACGCTAAAATAAAATAAAAAAAATTAAAAAAAAAGATTCACCACAACAACCCATCCACCACCAACCGCACACACACAGGTGTACGTTAACCGACACACAAAAACCAAAGATCTAACCAAGACGCGAAAGCAAGAAAAAGAAATGCGCCAAACCCGGATTGAACGGGTGACCTTCAGATTACCCCGAGTCTGCTAAGCACTGAAGAGAAACTTCAGTCTGACGCTCTCCCAACTGAGCTATTAGCGCTTGATAAAGTATTTGGGTATTTGACGTATTTGTTTTCTGGTGATTGTGTTGTCGAAGGAATGGGGGGGGTACGATATCTGATCGCTGGCTTGCTGGCGAGGTAACTGTACTGTAAGAATACGAGTACGGCACGAGTACTGTGATTTATGTGCATTGCAGTGCGGTAAGGTATTGTGGAATTTTGTTGTCGGTGTTATTGCCTGTACAAGTTACTTGTACAATTAAGTTACTTGTAACGGCTGGAATTGCGGTTTCTTGCTTAGTTCCCCAATTCTTCCAAGAATTCTTACAGTATGATAGCTAAGATTCCGGTTGCCCAAAAGGTTCCTGCAAGAGGACAAGAATTCCAGAGCCAAGTGTTTCACTCAACTTTGAAAGTTTTAGTATTACCCAAGCGGGCAGTATGGTACTGTACGAGTACGGTAATGTATGTAACCTTCAAGTTTTGATTAATCCACAGAAGTATGATACGGTATCCCATTATAGAAAGGGAAAAAAAAACCACAAGATACAAATCGCAGCCAGTAAATGCACAAACCATCTTCTCCCCTTGATTACAACGTATATCATGGAAGAATAAAATAAAAGAAAAAGAAAATACTCCGGATACCCCCTGAGAAATAAGAAAATAAACATGATGGAAGAAGGAAAGAAAGGGTAGTTAAATGCCACCTGTGCAGTTTTAGGAGAGGGGGAGAAAAAAGAAAAGAAAAGAAGAAAAAAAAAGCAAATATTATGTTTCTCTTTAGCCCAGCCAAGCAGGAAAAGAAATGTGTAAAGGTGATCGTGATTGCTTAGACTTGTTCGGGAGATGGGCGTGGGAACTAGTCCTCTTAATCCCTTCAGACTCGGTCTAGAGTTTCAAGAACTTCCACGTCATCAACATAATTCTAGCAAATTTTTCAGTTAGGCATTTCAGGAAAAAAAAAAAAAAAACTTTTGGAAAAAATAATAGCTTTCGAAGCATGCAAAATTTACTGAATAAAAACAGAAAAAACATGAGGGAGTTTCATACCGGATCCTCCTCGTAACCCCCTCCACCGAGAGCACTCCATTCCTGCAAGGCTGCCTCAAACGAGTCATCCAAGTTTTCCTGACTGAGATCCATGCTGTCATCATCAGTAGAACTCTCTGAAGCGCTGTCCTTCCAAAGCCTCCCATCGTTGCTAGCACACATGTAACTTTCCATCTCCCTCAGCCCTTCCCCCCCCACCTCTGCCTCCTTCACCCCTTCCACCTTCTCCTCATCGTCATCGTTCCCATCCGCTCCACCGCCGCGTTCCAACTCCTTCATCCTGCCGGTGCGCTCCTCCTCAGCCTCACGTTCCAAGAACTCAACGGAATACCCCAATTTCCATCTTGCAACTTGGGCAATCAACCGCTTTAGGTTCCCGCGACAGTTTCCGTGGACGAGGATGAAGGCACAGGCACTGCAGAGTTGGAGGCTGCATTTAGTGCACTGATTCAATACCGTGCAAGGTGTCTCATCACAGGCCATGCAAACAGCCGATTCTGGGTGATTTTTGACAATAAAGAAAACGGAATGGGGAAGTTTGTGAAGGTAGCGTTTGTAAACGAACGAGGTGCCAGTTTCTTTACCGTCGCTAAGAGTAGTGGTGGTGGTGCTGCCAGGCATTTTTCTGTTTGCCGAGTGGAAATGGAAAGATATTTGGGTGTGGTGGGATTGGCGGCGGAAGGTGTTGATAAGCGTCTGAGTGTGGTGGAGGATCGTGCGGGTGAAGGAGAATGAGCTTTGGCAACGGTTGTGTGTTTCCCGAGAAACAGCTTGGGTGCATATCGTGAGCTAGTTGCGGGGTTGACGCGGAATATTGATGACGATAAGGTAAGAATCCCGCTGTGCCAATGAGAGTAAAATGTTTCATATAACCCCAATGGCGAAACAAAGCGTGGTGTGAGAACCTCAGGGTCGAAAACTTTTGAAGAGAATTTTGGCTAAAGAATTTCTAACAGGTTAATTGACCTTTAAAGGCAAGTTTTGGTCTTTAGACAACTTATCACCATGGTTTGCTCGCAAATCATTTGGCTGCGTAATGTTTCTTGGCTGGTCTGATTTTGTGCTTCTTTTATGTCTGATTTAATCAATATATATATATATATATATATATGTGGGCTATGCCTGGAGATTTTGTCGCCAAAGATGGGTCTCAGAGTTCGAGAAGCTCACAGACGTCTTGAATCTTGATTCCGGATAGTCACATATTTGTCAAAAGCTATGATGTCAGAATGTTTTAATATATTTACTATTCTACTGGGCTTCATTTTTCTATTCCGAGCCGGGAACAAGCTCAAAGGATGTAGTTGGGCTCATCCCATTCAAACTTCAAAGTCTATTATCGGTGAGTTCTCAATAACTATATTCATGTCTACCATCTCTTGACCACTGGCCCTCCCGATATTACTACCAATGTGGTTAGCTTCCAGTTTTCGAGTGACATTCAGTGACCACTAAGTTCCACAAGAAAAAACTTTGTGAAACCACTATTTACCAAAAAAAAAACCACTACCACATCTTGTCACCAGAGCAACCTCAAAACTTCCCCCTCTATCAATTATCATCACGAAAACCCACTTTTTCAATATCCAGCTCCCCAAAACCTTCCAAATTCGCCTGCAAGGATAATATAGACGATCTTGCCCTTATTAACAAGCTTTCACATTCCATACGGGTCATTTGCCTCCCGACGTGATTGGTGTAACAACCAAGCTTCACTTGGCACTTGGCGCAAACCTTGGCCGCTGAGTGAGCAGCACCTCCTGTAAAAATGGCCAAATGTTAATTCCCCCAAGAAAAATAATTCACGAAACCCAGATTGTCACTATTCTCCGATCATCTCTTCGCCGCGGCTGTCGACCGACTCCCTCTTCAATTCCCTCCGGACACCCCAGATGTTATCATTGGCAGCCCTCCCCCGAGGCCTAATTCTCCTTCTCCTGGGCCTGACAGCACCACAAAGGACACGGGCCTTCCCGTCAAAAATCAACCCAGACCTCCTGCTGGACAGCGATAAGTCTTACAAAACTTACCGCGAGAAATATAAGTGCCTGGAGGAGGAATGCTACGTATATTACGGCGTCGACGCACTGTACGAGGGCAGTTGCACGGTAATTCTACATTCCCCGAATGCATGGAGTGCGTCTATCGGCCTGAGTGGGAGTGATCGGGATCTCAAACACCCATTGACACTTCCGGGAACGTTATATATCGGTCCGACACACAGCTACGGACTGCGAATGTTCGACCCCAACGACCTGTTCCTCGCGTTGGACGCTACAGCGAAGGGCTCCGGCGACTTGGGCTTTTCGAGCATCAATTACATGACATCGGTGTTCCCGGCGCTTTTACTCAACGGAATTCGTGGGAAGGAAGGGCGGGTGCTATGGGATGTCAAGGCGGAGGCAATCATGGACGACATGGAGAGCGATACCACTTCTGTCCACGTCGGTGGAGAACTACGCTACTCTGTGCCGACGCCACCGCTGGACGAATTCGCGAACAGTCTCAAACTGTACTGGCCCGCGAGCTGGAGTAGTAACCTCGTCAAGACGGGGAAGACCGGAAGAGCGGCGAACACGCGCGGGGTGGAAAAGTACCTCTACTCGAGACCGCCGGTGGGTCGTGTGCCGACCGTGCAGCCATACGAAATGAGGTTTGATGGGATTGTCGAGCAGCGGACAGCGAAGGTGAATTTCACCGTTACGGATTACTGCTCGAGAAGCGTATGTGAAGATTGGGATGATCGGTATCATTTTAATTATACCGTCATGTTTGTCGGAGTCAACCCTGCAGGCGGTGTAGGGAAGGTGCCGATGCCGGTTATGGAAATCCATAAGGACAAGCTGCTATTCACCGACGGGAGAACTGGAAAGCTCGAGGAGCCTCAAGAGGTTGAAGATGAGGATTGTGGATCCGTATGTAGATTTTTCAGGTGGCTAGGCAGTATAAGTGGTTTGTATATTGGCGTCGTACTGTATGGTGTCTTATGTATGGGTCTGGTTCTCTTCTTTATCAGAATGATGTTTTTTCGATGATAACTTACATAACTTAGTCGCCTTGGCTGATCATTTTTTTTTTTTTTTGGATTCTCTGAATATTCTTATACCTTTTTTGTTTTTGTTCCTAGGGGGCATCGGTTTTTGAAAAAAATATCACTCTTGTAATACTTCAGTATATACCGGTATACCAATTTATCTATCCTAACTCTTCTTATCTCTAAACCTCTCTATCACATATCATACCACGAAATCACACCCATCCTATCACAATCTGATGGATAACAAGCCCGATCGGTCCGATACCCCTGGCACAAAAACAAAAACCTCCCGGTAAATTCCTTTCGGCCCGCCCCGCTGCCAACTCTATGACACGGCGCCATAGACACAACACTACTAATCTACCAAACGGTCATGTACCCCAATCCGTCCAACCTGGCACGTGCATCAGCCAGCATCGTGTTACAAACTCCTATTCGCCAATTCTGTGCGATATTCTATATCGCTTCCAGAGCCATGGTTCCTTTTCTTGATAGATCGATTGTGCAGCCACCCACGGCGTATTGTATGGATGCAAACACAAAAATGTTCTGGATGACGGAGTATAATTGCTCATGGTATCTCACTCGGGATATACTCTCCTTTTGATCATATGAGAGCGTCGTATCGGCCTCCGAGCTTTTAGCTTACTACTGTACTACTGGAATTATTTGTCATGGAAATAAGTAAGTTATTACTGTGTTTACTGGCACAGGTGCATAATCTTAGAGGCTCTTATGCAAGTAAGGTAATGATAAAGAGTGAACAATGCCATTTTCTTAACATGTTTAGAGAATGCGGTCAATGAAGTGGATAATGGCATAGATATTTCTAGTTCGCACTGAAAAACACTTTCTCGACGGGTCAGGTTCAGAGCACCAAATGAGAACAAACTGATCGGTCAGGTCTGGCTTCTCGATCACTAACAACAACCAAACAAAAATGCCCAC